CTCTCCAGTAGCTCTGAACATTCAGGCTTCTTTTCTCCACTGAACAAGAAGAGCCACAAATGAAACTGACAAAGAAATGGCAAGCTTCAAAGAAGAAAAGGACAGATTAGATTCTACAAAGCCCAGAGAGGTGCTCAGATGAGGAAGGAGGGGGGCAGAGAAACCCTGAATGATAAACATGTTTTCAAAGGCTCTGCCCTGAAATCAAACACGTACCAAGGTAAACAGTCACAGTATAGGCTTCGCACCCACGCCAGGACTTTGGGAAAGATTTTTAAACAACATGAAAAGGCCAGTTCTCCCCATTCAAGGCTGCGAGTCCAGTCCACAGGTCCAACATTTCTGGAAAGCCATTTGGCAATCCAAATCAGGAGCCTCTGACCCAGAAATTTCATTTCTGGAAAACAAGCCTAAAAGAAACAAACATGGAGCTGGAGAGATGGCTCGCAGTGAAGAGCACTGACTGCTCTTGCAGAAGATGTGGGTTCAGTTCCCAGCACCCACAAGGCATCTCACAATTGTCTGTAACTACAACTCCAGGGGATTCAACACCCTTTCCTGGTGCCTAAGGGTGCATGTGTGATACACACACATTCTTCCAGGCAGAACACACACACACACACACACACACACACACACACACACACACACAAATATAATTTTAAAAAATAAAGCTTGAACCCCAAAACACCAAACCCTTCTTTTAAAAAATGAAATAATCTAAGTGCCTCATAACTCAGAAAGCTAAAGATAGGAAGGCAATAGATCCATGAAGGGAGCGGAAAGACAGCTCAATGGTAAAGGCACTGCCCCCAGTCTACCTACCTGAGTTTGATCCTCTAGGCCCACATATGTGGAAGGAGAAGAGCAACTCCTACAAGTTGTCCTCTAACTTCCATGTAGGCCATGGGACACATGTGCAACACACACACACACACACTCACACACACACACACACACAAATAAAAATAAATGTAAAAAATGTACTACTCTCACATCTAAGTTGAATTTTTACACATTTCTTTTTCTGAGTTATCTCTTGCAAATTGCCTTCTAAAAGCAAATAAGAAAAACATGCAAAGTTAAATCCATACCCTTGCACAGTCTACTCCTCACTCAAGCAGAGAACCACAGCAACATTCACTATCCAGCACAGAGGGTGGCAAGCAGCCCTCCCGAAAAATCTGCCCCCCACTTACTTTTGTAAATAAAGTTTTTGATATACGAGCCACACCCATGCCTTGACACCTAATTGTGGTTGGTTGTCTACTACAATGGCAGGATTCAGTATACTCATTTCATCTCTCCCTATCAAAGATGTCACTTCACACAGTCTCAGTAACCCACAGTTAACTGTAAACTACCAAATGGAAGATTCCAGAAATGATCAATTCATGTGTTTTCAATCGTGTACTCTTCTGAGTGGCACAATAAAATCTCAAGATGCTCTGCTCTGCTACACCTGAGATGTGAGTCAGCTTCAAGTATATATACTAGTTGTGAAGACATGACGATTATATTCAGGCTACTTGCATTTTACTCAATGGTGTCCCCCAAGGGCATGAGTGATGTGATGATGTTTGTCATTGTATTGGAGAATATCATTATAATTATTCTATTTCAGTATTGGTTACAGTTGTTAATCTCTTAACAAGTGACATGCTGTGCGTGCGTGCGTGCGTGCGTGCGTGCGTGCGTGCGTGCGTGTGTGGTGTGTGTGTGTGTGTGTGTGTGTGTGTGTGTGCAACACACACAACCGGCAGAGGCCAGGGATGCTGGATCTTCTCAGTGATACAGGTGCTGGAAACTGAACATGATCCCTCTAGAAGAGCAGCAAGTGCTCTCAAATGCTGAGCCATACCCCAACTCCCTCCATTTATTTTTGCTAGTGTATTCTATCATAGCAATAGAAAAGTATAGATATATATAGACACACGTATGAGATAATATAGAAGCACCACAGTGAAGTGTATCTCTCATAGAAAAGGGGGGTTGAGTGTAGTTTTGATGGAGATTCTAGGGTTCGCACTCTACAGCCTTCATCACCTGAATCTTTACAGAAGTCTCCCATCCCTGGGGCTAGTGGCCAGGAAGAAATGGCTTAGAATGGAGCTTGCCTCCAGCATACCTTTCTGACAATGACTATGTGTCCAGCACCGTTCCACAAACTGCCCATTGATGACGGTGGCAGGGCAATTGGTCTTGCCCTTGGCGGTGCCTGGACAGACATCCCCACATTCCTCATTGTCATCTTTGTTCAGCACGATGTAGTTGTCCTCCACAGAATCCAGGATCCGGGACCAGTCAATGGTGGCCAGGTAGCAGAGCTCGTTATTCTTCTCAATGCGGACAGAGCCCCGGGTGATGTTCATGAGGTTGTAAAGCCCCAGCTCCTTCAGGTGAACCATCTCAAAGATGACCAGGGCATAGTTGAAGAAAAGGCGGGAGCCTCGGATGACTGTAAGGTTGGGGAAGAGGTCTTTCAGACTCTCCAGGCCATAGACTCGGAAAAGAAGCAGGTAGTCTGTGATCATGATGAGTTTGGGGAAACTGAGGTCTCGGAAGTCTTCAGGCCTGGTTTTGAACATCAGGAGGATCTGCAGATGGCCCTCAATAACAGAGCAGTTCTCCAGCTCATGCAGCCTGGTCAAGTTGTTCCGGATGTCCATGCCAGGGCATACTAGAGGGCAGACAACAAAAGGAAAGTAGGTGAGCCTGGGACTCAAGAACAGCTAATGGAACCAGAGTCGGGGAGACAGCAAAGTGTTTGCTGTGCAGGCATGAGGGCCTGACATCCATGCCCAGGACCCATGGAATAAGCTGGTGTGGCAGCACTTGTCTGTGAGGGCTGGGGACAAGCAGAGACAGAAGGATCCCTAGGGCTCACTGGGCTACTTGTATCAGTGAACTCCAGGCCACTAAGAGACCCTGTCTCAAGAAACAAAGTGGGCAGCTCCTAAGGACTGTCACTTGAAGTTGACCTCTGACGTTGACCTCTGGCCTCTAACACACACACACACACACACACACACACACACACACACACACACCCAGGAGCTATATATCCCACAACACTCTCAGTCAGCATAGTACTCCTGCACATCTATGCTCACGATAGCTCAGGTGTGAAAGCAGCTTAAAAGTCCATCAGTGGATAAATAAATAATGAAAATGTAGTACACATTGTATATAGGCATCTTCTCAATAGACAAGTTATAAAACAAGCAACCGACAGATGGGAACTGGCTCAGCTGGTAGACCACTTGCCCAGAATGCATAAAGCTCCTCCGTTCCATGTCCAGCTCACACTGGACATGGTGGTGCATATCTATAATCCCAGTATTTAGGAAGTAGAGACAGGAGGGTCAGGAGTTGAAAATCATCTTCAGCTGTATATTGAGTAAGAGGCCAGCCTGGGATATTTGAGACTCTGTCTCAAAAAATAACAACAACAGATAACAAAGAAAATATGGCATGTAGACACAATGGAGTATTAGTCAGCCAGATAGAATGAAATAATTACATATATGACATAAACATTATGTAAGTGCATGGCAGGAGCAGAAAGGAGACCAGTTGAGGTAAAGAAAGACACCTGTGGGTGGGCAGAGGACCAAGTAGGAATAATGGCGCAGGGGTGATGAGCAAGGTACAATCAGACAGACAAAAAATGACATGGCTTAAAACCCATTCTTCAGTATGCCAACAAAAAAACTTAATGGAGGAGAAAACTAGGGCTCCTTTTCAATCTTCCTGGTTGTGAACAATGACAGGTCAACATAAGCAGGTGTCTCCTCCATACACAGATTTCATGAACTTTGGAGAGTTTTCCAGTAAAGGATGATCTATTTCCAGGCTTTGAGAAGCCTCTATACTAGTTTCCCAAAGACCATACTAGCAGACATTCCCACCAGCAGCATTTGTTATTTCTTATCTTTCTGATAATAGCCATTGCCATAAATGCCCATCCATGGATGAATACATAGCAATATATGGTGTGCTAGGGGTGGAGGCCACTTGTAACCCAGTAATCTAGAGGTTGAGGCAGGAGGATTATGAGTTTGAGGATAACCTGGGATATATGAACTGGGCTGGCAGACATGGTTCAGGTGTAGAGGCCCTGCCTAGAATCCCCCAGTGAGGGACTGGGCGTATGGCTCAGTGGTAGAGCACCTGCCTAGAATCTCCCAGTGAGGGGCTGGGGGTGTGGCTCAGGGAAAGAGACCCTGCCTAGAATTTCCCAGGAAGAAGATGGGGCAATGGTTCAGAGGTAGAGGCCCCTGCTTACTGTGTACAAGACCCTCTGTCCAATTCCCATCAGAGAAGATGGGAAAGCTACAATTAGGACCAGTGCCAGCTTTGTGGTCGCCCACTGTGGGCTCTGCATTTCAAATCCCTAAGCCAGACCCGATGAATGGCTTTCCCTGTAAAGCAACCATGCCTAAATAATTCCTTTCAAAAGGCAAAGAACATAATTCCTTTGGCAGGCCCAGTTAGAAGCCTTAACATAATCATCACCCTATCTATGAAGCAATCGGCTCAACGGGAGGGTTGAGTAAGATGTCAAGAGCAGAGGAAAGGGCAACGGACCCCAGCCCCTGAGCCTCAGCATGAAGTTAGTTCTTCAGAAAATGACTGACAGGAAGATGTCCTCACATCAGAATGGGGCAAGGAAAAACTGGATGTCTTTGTTTTGTGTTCACCCACCTCCTGGCTGGCTCTGCTTCCTTGGCCTGCCCTCCCGGCTGCCAATCAAGGTCTAATTACCTTTTACCTGGGTGTGGCAAGCGCTTCCCAGGAAACCCAACCTCCATCTTTTTGCTCAAACACACAGGGAATGCTGATTCTCCTAAAGGTGGTGTGCCTGTCAAGTCCAACCCCTCCATGGCTTCCCATGGCCTCACACACTTCACAGTCACAGTCCTCAATATTCCTAAAAACCCTCCATTCTGGAAGCCTTGTGCACTGGTTGGTTTTTTGTCATCCTGACACCAGCTTGAGTCATCTGGGAAGAGGGAACCTCAGTTTAGAAACGGCCTTCATCAGACTGCCCTGGAGGTAAGCCTATGGGGCATTTTCTTGATTGATGATTGATTGATGATTGATTGATGGGGGAAGACCTACACCACTATGGGTGGTGCCACACCCAGGTTCCTCCATGGTCTCTACTTCAGTTCCCACCCCCAGGTTCCTGCCTGGAGTTCCTGCCTTGACTTCCCTTCATGATAGACTATAAGCTGTAAACTGAAATAAACCCTCTCCTTCCCAGATTGCTTTTGGTCATGGTGTTTATCAAAACAACAGTAAACAAACTAGAGCACCATGCTCTCCCAAACAATTGCAAAACTCCTGTCCCCAGTGTTATATGACCTGTCCGGAAAAATAAAGAAATGATGAATTCAAGACAAGAGCCCAGGCATTGGATGGTATACAGTAGATGCCCAATTCATGTCGCCTGTGTCGATGTTTCTTTTTCCTCAAATAGGTAACATACATGTCTGGGTGAGTCTGTCTTGTGCACTTGAAAGTCCCACCTTCACCCCCAGCAAAGGGCAATGATGTCATTTTTCCTCAGATGCCTTCCACTGTCTTTGTGAGACAGTTCCTCTGTGGCCTGGAGCTCACTAAGCTAGCAAGTCAGTGAAGCACAGGAATCCATCTGTCTCTTCCACCCCAGCTATGGTTACAAGCATGGATTCTTGGATTCTCGGGGTCTGGGGAACAAATTCAGTCACTCAAGCTTGCCAGGCAAGTCCTCTATTGGCTGAACCATCTCCCCAGCTTCTATTGCTTTTCTACCTCATCCCCTTTCCCCTCCTGCTCTGTTCCCATGCTCCCAAGGTAAAGGCGAACAATTTACCAGCTGAGCTCGCTCCAGCTTCTCCTGGCTACTCTGGGCCTCAGCCTCCCAAGCACTGGCATCACAGGTGTTCACCACCACACTCTGCTTAGCTCCAGGCCACGATCCCCCATTCAGAAGCCACCCACTTCAGCAGTCCTGCCCCTGTTTCCCTTCCTGTGAGGACCTGTGTTTGGGTCTCCCCTTCTTTGTGTTCCTTCCATTCATCAGAATCAAACTGCTTAAATGGCATTCCTACCAAACAGAGCCCTCTGCACCATACAACCCCTGGTAATTTTATTCCAAAACACCCAGTATCTTTGAGGCAAAGAAACTCTTTAAATGTCCCCCTTAAGTCCACCCTGGAGGCACTGAGTGCTTCCTAACAATTCTGATAAATGGAGTTCAACCCCTGGGCCTCACATGGTAGAAGAGAAACACCCTCTGATCCCCACATTTGTACGTGGGACATACATGTTCACTCACAGGCATACAGACACACACACACACACACACACACACACACACACACACACGGGGGGGGGGGGGGATCTAATCTAAGAATGATGAATGATGCAAGTGACTTAGGGAAGAAGATCCCAAAGCTCTTGGATTTGGTGCTCTTGCCTCATAGCCCACATAGAGCACATTAAACTCTATTAACAGAAAAGCCACACATTTATTCATGAGGAAGTAGGAAGCTCCAGCCCCAGGCAACAGTAAAACAGCCACCCTGCCCAAGACAGTTGCCAGCCAGTCTCTGAACTGAGCAGAAGGTCCCCTGCAGTGGTGAAGCCTGGGCTGGGAGACAGCTTTGAAGAGATCAGGACACCAGCTCAAACCCCAGGTAGTCACACCAAGCAGGTCAGAGGTTCCTGACACCTCAATGGCTTCCAAGCATGGGCATACTGACAGATGTATTGTGTCACAGTTAATCTTGATTGACAAGTGGACAGGATCTAGAAGCACCCAGGGGACAAGCCTGTGTTGTAAGAAGTCTCTACATTGGGTTAAGTGAGATGGGAAGACCTACCCTGAATGGGACCAGCATCATCCCACAGGCTGGGGTCCTGGGCTGAACAAAGAGAGAGCAAGCAATGTTACAAGGACTTAATCAAGGGCTGGGGAAACAACCCAGTGGTAACACACTTGCCCTGCAAATGTGAGGAGTGAAGTTCTGATTCCAGCACCCCATAAATGACAGGCAGGTGTGACAGCCTGCCTGCATTCCCAGCACTTGGGAGATGAGGGGGATGCCCAGAACAAGCTGGTTTGATAAACTAGATGAATAGGTGAGCTCTGGGTTCACATGAGAGACCCTGCCTCACTTGCCTCAAGGACGGCATGCAATACCAACCTCTGGCCTCCACATATATGCACAGACACATGCACTCATACACATGCTAACGTGCATATACACATCCATGCACCACAGATGCAAAAGACAAAGAAAGAAAAAAATGCTCTGTTAGTAAAGTCCTTGCTGAACAAACATGAAGAGCTGTGTTCTATCATCAAAACCCACATAAAAAAAGGAAGCACAAACACACTTATAATTCTAGTGCTGGGGAGGCAGAAACAGGAAGATCCTGGAGGCCCACAAGCAGCTCAGCCTACCTTAAACAGTGAGCTCCAGGTTCAATGAGACCCTGCCTCAAAATAACAAGGTGGACAGCACCTGAAGAATGACACAAGAGTGACCTCTGGTATATTGGTGCAATAGCTGCACAAAAGCTATGGGAGTCACCAACCACTATCTGAATGGATTTGGAGCCTACTCCATAGGATGGAATCCATACCTGAAAATGCTAAAGTGGCCAAGAACCTAAAACTAGATAGGT